CCACCACAATCCAAGGGGTATTAGCTAAATTCCACTAATGCACCTATTTCTGATTTACAGGTAGAAATGTCAGCCCCTGCTAGGGCATATGACATGTAAATCCTCATGCAGGAAACCTGTGTTTGGGTGATGCATTCAGATTCAGATCACAGCCCTCTTCACAAGCTCATTGTTTAACACTTCTGATGATGCAGTAAAGGTAAAACAGCCTGCAAATATTTTATGAAGCTTCTGCAACTTGCCTGCAGTACTTCAGAAACATACAGTAGTGCTGCAGTCAGTGCACAACAGCTAGACTCCAGTGGTTGGTTGTTTTAATCTTGTTTAAACTATTCTCTCAGCAGGTAACTGAGAGATATAAATTATCTACTACCTGCCAGCAAGGTGCCTGTACTGTAAAGGTTTTTATGTTACTCAGGAACACATTACATCCAGCTTTGGAGATTCAGTAAAAGAAATGACAGTGTTCTTAACAGTAGGGCCACTTCAATGTAAAGGGGCATGCAGATTTCAGACTTAAAGAAAGCAATAAATACTGTAGTGGAAATTTTCTAGGAAGAAATTATTGGAAAATATCTATACCCAGCTTTTAACTGACTCCTGCAGTACCTACTGGATTTTTTTTTCCTCTCATATATAAAGAACATATGTCTACCTGCGGTCCAAAAGTACTTTTATCCTAGAATGAAGGAAACAACAATAATAAAGTACTAAAGTAAAATTCCCATGAAAGCACACAGCATGTTTGCATCTCTCCTTTGTGCTGTGCAAGGTCTGTAGAAAAAGTCCACAGACCTTCTAGATCTCAGAAATGTAAACGGGTATGATGCAGAAAATGGAGGCACTGACTTATATGGCTGCGTATAGCATTCTTGCAGAGCAATGAGCTAAAAGGATTCAGACTAAACTCCAACCCAACTTGCCTCCCTGCCATACCCATTGACCACAGTGAGTGAACCAAGTAAAAAGTACACACATGTCATAGCTGAATAACAGAGAGCAGTCCCTTGAGATTCATGATGTATTTCTGTCATTAACAAATAAAGAGTTCATGAAAAAGTATGAAACTGGAACGTTTGACCTAAGAAATAATCCTTTATATAATAGTTGCATCTTCACATCCCTGATTTTGCTGTGCTAATGATCTTCCACGGAACTTGTTAGCTGATGTGTATGGATGTGCGGCATCTGCAGCCCCTGCTGTCAGGTGCTGAGGAGGCAGCAAGAGTGGAAAGTTGCCTTCAGGCTCTCCTCTCTTGTCAGATGTCAGCTGGAGAAAAGCAATGTACAGCTGTGCCTCTACTCTGAGGCCACTCCCATGTGAAGTTCTACAGGGGCTGGTCCTGTCTCTTTTACTTTTCATCATGTGCTGAAGAGCTGTAGGAAAGGTCATGAGGAGCCGAGGGCTGCAATACCATCAATCTGTTGATGGCAACCAGCTCGTACATCTCTTTTCAGCTGATGCAATCAGTGCCATGACACAGATGTCACAAAACTTACAGGAGGTAAGCCCACAGATCAAAATCAGTTGGCTGAAGTTAAACTGAAGAAAGAAAAGATGTTGCTGGAAGGAAGGAGGAGAACTTGATGTAGTTAAGGCAGCTAAACGAACCCTGCTTTCATTTTGGGCAAATGCTATGTAGTTTGGGGTCCCAGTGTAGACCATATTGCCCCTGGATTCACTATGGCTTTCAGAGTGCTTGTATCTTTTTCTGTCTGCTCTGCTGTCATTTTCTGTGGTAAAGGTGACTGATTTCACCTTTTGTGAGAAGCCACCAGAGACTTGTTCAGGTTAAAAAGAGAACAAAGTATAAAGCTTGTCAAATAAAGCAGTGACACACAGGAAATGTGGAAGGTGTAATTCCTTACAGACATACTTGCTGTCAGTCTGGTTTTGTACTTTATTCTTGGTAAAAGAGGGGTTTGAATATAGATAGATAAGTAAGGATTAGCAGACCCAGTGCAGACTTTGGAAACTAACATGATCTGAAACTGTCTGGTTTTATAGCCTTGGGCAAATCATATAATCTCTCTGCTACTGTTTTCTGATCTATAATCCAAATGCAGTAATTCTTTCTTGCTTCTCAGTGATTAATTAATGAATGCTCTTCCAGTATTTTGTGGTGCCATGTACAAATACTACAATTACAGAGAATCAAGGAGCATATGATATTAATGCCAAACAGATACAGGGTAGAACTTGGGATGCTGGAAAGTGGCACACTCAGATACAGCTGTAATGAGTTCATTAGTAATGCACGACTGGATTGATTAAGTAGTTGCCACTATGCAGAGCCTTGTCTAGAGCTGATATTGATATACTATTTTGACCCGAGACAGATGCTCAATGATCTTGTCTCTTAAGTTTTGGCAGTGCCTGTCATGTCAACACAAATTATTGAGCCGTAAGAAAGAAGCTGTAGTTGCCACACAGATACCCTTTTTATATTCTTCCATATATAAGAACTGCAGCTTCCCAAACTGGATTTTTTATATAACCTTTATGAAGCACAGTTTGAAATAGCTTGTCTTCTTTTTTAATTCCTTCCTGAGAATGTTTCCTCTAGCTATCATGATAAAAATGTACTCCTGTGACAAAACCACCATGTTCCAGGATTTTATCTTTCCCACCACAATGGCAGCACATCCTGTATGGTGATGATACAGCACAGAAATTTCACCACATTGAGGTTATTTTTTCATTGCCTGATACTGGTAACTGGGATGTGAAGCATCAGGAGATATAACAGTTTCTACACAAAAGAGTCACAGCAGGATTCGAACACTCTGGATATCCAGCTGAGATTAGGGGCCTGGATGAGTCAGGGTAGTTAATTGTGTGCGGAAGCTGAAAGGCTTCCGCACACAACTATCTGAAGGTGAGCAGCATCTAGAAGAGGTTACTTACTCCTGCAGGTCTTGACAGGTTATTTCAAATGGGCTTTGGCTGGGGATCTGTAACCTTTTGCTAGCAGGCTGGTTATTACCAATTGGGAAACTGGCACCAAGGGTAGTTGTGGCCAGTACAGTGCACCCCTCCATCTATTCCAGTGCAGGTGAGGAGAAACAGTGCAGGTAGCATATACTTCAGGGGTATAGGTATTTGACACAGAGGATGTTTTGGTTTGGGTCCTTCCACTGAAGGGTGAAAAGATTTTTAATTTTCCCTTCCCTACATCTCTCTCTGGCTGTGAGTCCTTCTTCGTCTCAAACTCCTTCTGGTGGCTCCAGTGCTGCGCCTCATGTGGACATCCACTGGCACTTTAGAATGAGCTAAGGATTGCTAACCCCATTTAAAGGCAGGCTAACTGAAGCTGCCTCCGAATGGGAAGTGAGGCATAGCACTGGGAAATGATTTGCTGAAGGTTATCCAGCTGTGACTGAGAAAAGTGCACTCTGGTTCTGCTGCAAAAGATGCCACAAAAGTGTAAATGTTAATCATAATAACTTTCTCTAGGAGCGTTTCTGCTTTGCAAAATTACATCTCCACCAGGGGACTTGTTAATGTCAACGGCATTCAGTTTTCATGATCACTGCTTGAAGTGATCAGTCAGCTGTATGGATCTACAAATTGCTCCCTTGCAGCCAGCCTCTTAGCCTAATGCTCAGGTGACAGTCAGACATAAGGATCAGACTTGAAAAGGCGTCTTTGATTTTCCTTTGATGTTTCTGAGCCAAGGAAGAATTTCACATGGCCACTGGGCAGTAGGTGAAGATCACTTCGGTTTGTGGGAAGCCAATTATGACGTGGCTGACCTGCTTTGACCTTAAGATTAGGGTCAGGACATCTGGGCTGCCCTCGTGAGGCAGAAGCTCAGACCGGTTTGTTCATCTGGATGCAGCAATCATTCCAATAGTGTGATTATAATGGAGGCTGCACAAATTGATCCTGGGCAGACTCAGTGTATTTATTTGCTTGCACTTTGGCATCATTGCCAACAGTTGTGAGGATAAAGCAGGGCTCTCCTTTAGGATTTAATGATAACAACCGGGAACAATTTACAAGGAGAACAGGTCCTAATTTCTAAGCCTCTCACCCAGTTAGCTTTCTCCCCCCTTTCGTTTTGTTCCCTTATTCACCTCCCCCAGCATAAAAAGGATGTGGACCTGTTACAGAGAGTTCAGAGGAGAACCATGCTGATAAGCAGGATGCGGGAGCACCTCTCCTATGAAGACAGGCTAAGAGAGTTAGGCATGTTCAGCCTTGCAAAAAGAAAAGGTTTCTGGGAGACCTTAGAGAAGCCTTTCAATACTTAAAGGGGGCCTACAAGAAATCTGGAGAGGGACTTTTTACAAGGGCATATAGTGACAGGACAAGGGAAAATGGCTTTAAACTGAAAGAGAGTAGATTTAGGTTAGACATAAGGAGTAAGTTCTTTACTGTGAGGATGGTGAGGCAGTGGCACAGGTTGCCCAGAAAAGGTGCAGCTGCTCCATCCCTGTTAAGCGTTGAAGGCCAAGTTGGACAGGGCTTTGAGCAATCTGGTCTAGTGGAAGGAGTCCCTGCCTACGGCAGGTGATTGGAACTAGATGATCTTAAAAGGTCCCTTCCAACCCAAGCCATTCTATGATTCTTACTCCAGATCTAAGACCAACAGAAGCTTTAAAGACCCTGACAAAAAGCATTGGGAAGGAGGCTATCTGCTCTCTAGAGTGAGGTACATATTGGAAAGATGGTTGAGGCACAAAAACTAATCCCTGAGGGGAGGCCAGCGGGGCTCTGGAGAGGAGCTGGAACTTTTTACTTTCTACTGTCTGTTGAAGCAAATTGGAAGGAAATGGCTTTTCAACTGTCATTGCTGGCGGCAATCTGGGCGGAGAGGGATGTCGGGTGGCTTTGAGGTTTCTGCTGCCCTGCGCCGCAGTACGCACAAGCTCGGGTGCGAACACTCATCCTCCTAGCCCTACCTTGCCTTGCCTTGCCTTGGGGCGAACTACAAGCCCCGTCATGCCGTCGCGCAGGAGGGCGGTAGCGGCGGAGCGCGCTTGCGCCGCCAGACGTGGCAGCACCCGCAGCGGCGGTGGCGGGTCCGACGCGGGTCCGGCGCTGCGGCGATGGCTGTGCCCGGGCAGGGCGCGGGGGCTGCGCGGCGCCGCGAGCGGCTCCTGCTGCCGCTGCTGCTGCTCGGCCTGGCGGTGAGTGGCTGCGGCGGCGGCCGCGCCCTGGGGCGGCGGGGACGGGCGCGGGGTGTCCCTTTCCCGGGGCGGGGGAGCGCGGCGCGGCCGGCGGAGTTGGGCGAAAGTTGGGAGCGGGACGGGCCCTTCGGGCTGGGCGCTGCGGCTGTCCCTGCCGTCCGCACCCACTGCAGCGCCGGGCGGGCTCGGCTCCGCACGGCACGGCATGGTTGGGCTCCGGCAGCACCCCTCTTGGGTGTTTCCCCAGCCATCAGCCCGTGTGCTGCTTTCCTGCCTCCTTCCCTCTGTCTGCTTCTCAAAATCACCCAGAGAAAACCCGCCCCGGCGGGCGGCGTTGTCTCCTCGAGTGGCTGCGAGCTGCAGCTCCCGCCTCGGCCCCGGCGGCTCCGACCGACGGACGCCTCGTTCCTAAGTTTCGTGTGAGATGGGGTTCCCCTCGGCGTGGCTCTGCTGAGCAGCGCTGACCCGCTTGGCTTTGTGCACCTGTGCGCGGGCACGGCCGCCCGTGGGCAGTGCCTACCGGGGCGTCCCTCCAGTTTGGCGTGCTGTGTCTTTGTGCATTCCGGAGGATCTGGGTATGTTTCATTGAAATTACACGAAGTGAAGCACTCCTCGCCTCAAGGAGGCTGTGAGCCTTACAGAAATATTTAAAAATCTTATTTTCCCTTTTTTTTTTTTTTTTTTTTTTACTCCACAGAATTTAGCATTAGAAGCTCAAAAGATTGACCAAGGCATGCTTTAAAGCATGCTTTATTTACTTACTGCCATGAACTACAGTTCTTCCTTCTGCCTGGACAAATAGAGTAAATAATTAATGAAAATCTATCTTAATGTTTTTGTGCACGTGTGATGATCTGAAATGTATTTGGAAATGTGTGATCTAAGTGTGCTCATCTAATTCATACAAATCAGGTGTGGAGTTCTTAATTGCCCTACTCTGCTCCTGTGCTAATGTTAGAATTTTCATTATGGGACAGACAGAAAGCATTGGTCCTGTCTGATGAAGCCCTTTGCCCCTGACAGGGCCTAGCCATTGCCTGGGAAAGAAAAAAAAATGCTGTGCAGCCCTCGTGATTTTTTAGTCCTAAGCTTGGTCTAGAAGTGCAGTCCTCTGCTATCTGCAATTTATTTATGGTTTTCTACTGAAACAAGTCAGGCTGAACTCTTCCTAAAAAGAAAAAAAGAGGTCTTACTGTGGTTTTTGTTTTTATCCCTATGGCTCATCTTTAATACATGCTGTATTTAGCAATACTTGTGGTAGTGTATTCTTGGGACTGAGTATACACTGTGGACTAAGTGTAGTTACAGTGGACTGAATTTTCACTTCATTTAAAATAACTAAACACATGAAGTTATTTGTGGTGTTTCCTTCTATATCCACTGTGACTGTCAGACCTTATCTCACTGTAACATTCATTTTATGTTAATGTCAGTATTTTGCTATGATTTCTTTTGGTAGACTAGAATATTTTTTTCTTCCATCTTTCTTCATGTGAATCTCTTGTTTCCAACTATTCTAGTTGCCCATCTTTGGACCTTTTGTGTTGCAGAGCTGGTATATTTCAGATGAGCAGAGTGGGCCTGCTGTTGTCAGTAAAATTATATGAAGCTATTATAATTTATTGACATTATTGTCTTACTGTTCTTAATGTGCCCCAGTATTTTATTTGCTCTGTGATGCTGCACGCTGAGCAGATGTCTTCATTGAGCTGTTGATTCAGCTAATTCTTTCCCCTTTGCTGTGTACAAGTAGTTTAAATTATTTCTTCCAATTTGCATTATCTTGCACTTGAAGGTGCGATTTTTCATCTTGAAATATGTAGCTCAAGTATGCCAGGATTCAAAAACTAGCCTACAGCTGTGACACTGTAAAACCTGCTTTTATTTTATTGAGTCAGTGTTTGCAAAGTTGGCGAGCCTGTTAAATCAGGACATTCTCAGTGTGTAAAGTTAATGCTCAGTGTGTAAGGTAATGCCAGCTGCTTGCTAGGACAGAGGTTAATGAGAACATTGTCTTTCCTTCCAACCTGTCCTTTTTTATGTACCCAAAAGAGACTTCTTTTCTTTCTGTTTTTTTTTTTTTCCTGAAGTGCTGAGTGCTGACAGTGCACCTGAGGCAGCAGCTAGTGGTGTGCATGCTTGATGCTCCTGAAAAATAGGGCTCATTTTTAAAGTAGGACCCAATATTGGAGGTGGCTTCTGAGAAGTGAAATCCGTATCTCTATAAGGCTTCCTGCATTTGTAAGAGGAAAACTTCAAAGCTGGATGAAGAAAACACTTCATTATCTTCTAATAGAAGATGTTGTTATCTTCTGTATTACTATGAATGTTACATGCACGTGAGGAAGATGCTGCAGTGATCTCTGCTTGCTGTAAAGTTTCATTTCTGGAATGAGTTGAAGTCATAGGGAAGCTGTGGTTTAACTTTAGAGACACTTCCCTCTTTGGTGTGTCAAGTGGTTAACTATATTTCACTTTCGAAGGACTGAATTTACTGTTAAAGGCAATGGGAAGGAGTTTCACACAGAGCTGGATTTGCATTTCTTCTGATGTGCTGGGTACTGTCCGTTTCCTAGCAGAGCCCAGCCACTGCTCCCAGCAGGATTTCACATCTGGGATCCATTTGCTTTGCAAACACTGACGAATGTTATCTCAGGCCAACATGGCAAAGGTCAGTTCATCTTTTGAGTGTTTGCTCAATGACAGAGAAAGTGAGTCAATATTGAGTCTGACATACAGCCACTGGGAAACAGACTTTTTGACCTGGTGCCATTCAGACCAGTGCCTTCAAAGAAAGGCTTGAAAGGAACACTTGAGGCTTCCACCTCAAGTCCCAGTAGTGTCACAGGAATGCACCAGTGAGCACTGACACGGAGCTGTGAATCCAGGCATGTGGGGAGAGCTTGGATGTGGCTCACTGTGTTGTAGGTAGCCCTGCAGCGGGCAGCACTGGCTTTGCCTCTGGTGAGTTTGCAGGCAGGGTTCAAGCGCTGCTCCTCTGCAGCGCGATTTCTTGGGGTGGCATTTGGGCTTGAATTCGGGAGTGCCTCTTCCTATCAAGCTACTGTTTGTACTACAGGAGCTGCTTTGGAAAGTGTTTTGCTGCAGTCAGAGGAAGGGTATTGCAGAGGCAAATCTCTTACTTGCTGTCCCCTGCATCCCATTCCTACTTTGTCCATTTTCTCTTCAAAATACAGATTTGTAAAAATTGTGACGTGGGCTATGCTCTGTCTCTTCGGATGCCCTTTCCAAATTAAACCTTGGCTTTTAAGACGGTTTTGTTACTCAACTCAGTACCTTATGGAGATGGAGTGATGTTTTGAATCGTTTGCTTTGGTGCCAAGGTGCCCATTTATTTCACAGAGCCTGGAATGTTGCCACAAGTGTGGTGTGGTCATCAGAAATGGTGTTTGTGTGTTCTGAGCAATTGGTGATGGTAGAGGTGCTTGTTCTGTTCTTGACCATTTCTTCTGCTTTTTGGTGAGACAGTTCCTTAAGTTCCTTCATTTCAATAAAATAGAGATGAGACCCACCTTTCTTCAGAGTTGTGTTTGGAGGTCTGTGAACATAAAAACATCAGTCCAATTTACAACCAGAATCACAAAGTAGCATTGCCTTAAATTTCTTGATGTGGACAGAGTCACTTTAGAAGTAAGTTATGGTTTACCTTGATCCTACCACCATTTCAAGGATGTGAATGGCAAAAAATTGTGATAGTAAAGCAGGTCTTAAGTTTTGGCACTTTGCTAACTGTGAGTAGCTGGTAGCATTGAAAGACAATGCTGTGATTTGTGTGCTAGCAGAACAGAAGTGATCTCATCTGTGGCTGCCTTGATGATGTCCTGTCTGATGTCTTTGGGTCTGTAGTCCTGTACCATATATGCTGGTTGACTGCACATGGACTCTTGCTTTCCCCCTCCTCTCTTTTCAGGGGATGGCACACCATGAATGTGTGTTGGTGTGCTGCCCTAGCATCAGCTGCATGCTGGCTTGCTCTGATGCTGCCTCCCTTTTGCCTGTTCAGGTTGCTTCCTTCCTGTGTGAATCTTACTCCAACTATTTAAATTAAGCTTTGCCTCCTATCACCTGCAGAAAACTGTAAGGATTAATTAGTTAATTTTTGTGCAATGCTTTGAAGATAACAAGTGCCATATAAAGTGCTAAGGATTTTCAGGTGTCATTTTTCACCGTCTCTTCTTTATAAGTCCCATTAATAGTTTTTTTTGTCTTTTTATAGCATCTCCTGCATGCTTCTTGAGTAGGTGATAGTTCTTTAAACTTCTTCAAAACCCAGTTCTTAGTGGGGGATTATGTGGTGTATGCTTTGCTTATGCTTTTGAAGTCATCCAGGTATGTTAGTTGAGAATTGATATCTGAAATATTTCATCAACAGCTTGTTTAATATATATTGCACCAATGCCTGGCTTCAAGAGAGAACAAGCTTAACATTCATAGTAAGGAGAAAGTTCTTTGTCAGCATTAGTAATTGACCCTATCATAGTCAGTTGTTAATTAGTAAATTGTTGCACAGGTTTTCTTTCACGAAGCATTTGAAAACCCAGTACAATTAATTGGCTACAGAGCCTTTAAGAACAACCCTTAGTATAGACTGTTATACCTGTAGCTTGTGTTCCTTAAAAAACAGTGTTTAAGAACAATATGAACAGTAGAGTCTAGTCAAATTTTGACGTCTCCATGGTATTTTTTGCTATCTTCTATATTTGGAAAGTGAGCATAGCAAGCACTGCGTTAAGTGGAATGCCTTATTTGTAGCGTTCTTCAGTCTAAGATAATACCAAGACACTCCGCGGTAGGATTTTAATTTGCCTTCCTTTGTGAACAGAAGAAGATATGACACTTACCTCTTGCAGATGTGACCCACCACAATAAAATGTCAGCAGTACTTCCTTCCCCTTCCCTTTTGAATGGCTTGAGTTGAGAATTAATTGATCTGAATTATATACAGTGTAAGAATGCAGTTCCATGGACCTCATGAGGAA